GGCTTTTTTATATTACAGATCTGGGCATTGGGAAAATTTAACATTCAACTGTGATTTATCAAAAATCTTACATTTTCTGGTTCAGATCTATTCATTTTTCTGCACTTTCATTGCCAGTGCTGTAAATACTGGGTTGTTGAAAAAGTCTTGACATATTTTTCTGTTTTTAATGCAAAACTATGTCATGACTTTCCTGACGACCCAATAAATTGGCTTTCTCTGAGGAGAGGGTGCATTTAATATAAAAACAGTTTTTTTTCTTCTTTTTCTTCTTTTATTAGACTGACTGCATATGGGGTAATAACTAGAACATAAGTATGGTGAATTAGAAATTTAAGTTTCAAGTGCTTCGCTAACTCAGGGTCTCCTTTTATACAGCAGCTGTATATCATTCCGGGTCAGACCTGTGCCCCAGAGAAACAATAAATAGCTATTTCTCAAGTGCTTTGTGGTCATAGCATTGTGTAGTTAAGAGAGACATGTATTCAAAAACTCATTATGCTGGGACCAGCAGTTGGTGTAAGGCTATGTCGCTGGACTCCAATGTGGTTCTGTGGTTTGAGTCCCAGACCCAGTGGCTTAAACTCACAGTGGGTGCATGTGCGTGCGTGCCTAAGATCTTTCCTGAGAGGGGAATGGAGGAGAAGGGATTGTGGCATGGCCATCCCCCCTGGGGGTTGATTTCTCACTTTCTGTCTCTCTGTTTCTCTCTGTCTTTCTGGCAAGCGCACATGCCCTATAGCAAAAACCTCTCAACTCCCCCCCCCCCAAAAAAAAACTCATTATGCTAATTTTTAGCTATAGTTTAGTTATGTCAGTTTGAATTCTGTTTTACAGTTCTCTTACCCATAAAACAGTAATGAAAATCCTCTTGCAAGTGTGTTATAAGGATTAGAGATAATATAAGTGTGCACAAGGTTGATGCAAATAACTCTTATTATTACAGGAACTAAAATCTTGGCAAATAGTATTAAATCTTCAATGCCAAACCAAAATTAAAAAATAAAATTATATCCCACAATAGGGGAAACCTAAAATAAATTATGCTACGTTTATAGTCATGGGCTACTATGTGATCATTCAAAATAAGATTCACAGAGAACTTTTAATGAGAGGAGAAATTCTCATATATTACACGATTAAAAGGCAACAGGGAGCCAGCAGGTGGTGTGGTGATTAAGGCACTGGACTTCCACATGGCCAGCTGCAGTTCAAATCCTAGACCTGGCGCCTTGCTTTCTCACTCCCTCCATTCCATGTCTCACTCTGGTGAGCACACATGCCCTGTAGCAAATTTTAAAAAATGATAATAATAATGATAAATAAAATTAAATAAATAATTTTTTTTAAAAAAGCAGCAGTACCAAGAAATTTATAAACAATATGACGAATATATGTGTATACACACATACACACAATCTGTCACCCCACCCATCAAAAGAAAGAAACCCTACAACTACTGGTCATTCCTGAATGATAGGAATATTTGTGATTTTTCTTTTTTTTTTTTTTAATTTTTGCCAGAGGGCACTCGTGCTTGCTGGAGAGAGACAGAGGGAGAGAGGAAAATGAGAAAGCACTCCTGACTAGGAATGGTCACACCACAATCCCTTCTCCTCCATCTATTCCTCCTTTCAGGATTCTGACCATGTGCCCAGCATATTTTTCAAACCACTGGGTCCGGGACATGAACCATTCAGTTAGCCATTTAGATTCAACCACTTTAACCATCAAGCCACTGGCTGGTACAGTAATTTTTATTTGCTATTGTAAAAATTATGTATTTTCTAATATGCCTCTGATAAGCGTGTATCAGTTTTGTATTAAAAAAAAAACTATTTAAAATTTTCCAGCACATAAATGACTATGTTTCCTGCTAGCCAAAATCACTGCCATTGTTTAAGATTTACAGGTTAGATCTTGATATTACACAGGTGCAGTTGGCCTGAGCCAAGACTAAGATATACTCACTAAGCACTAGCATTAGTGAGGATTGGTTTGACTAGGTTATCACTTTGTATTTCCCAACAGTGGGGATAATGTGAAAGATAAAATTTGCATCTTTCAAGCATCATGGATAATACAACAAAATTTACAGGAAAACACGTTTCTAGTTTCACATTTTGTTTTAATCCCTATTGCACTTTAGTTCTATCTTGGGCAAATATGAGTACTTCTTTGCATTAATGGCCATTTTCACCATTTGAAAACAGCCCTAAAAATATTCCTATGTTTGAATTATAATGCCATCTAACATTGGTGTTTTAGTAAATAAGTGTATTCCTTAAAGCTAAATACTTATTATCTCTGTTTTTTTTTTTTGGAGAGGTTTTTGCTATAGGGTGTGTGCGCTCGCCAGACAAGACAGAGAGAGACAGAGAGACAGAAAGCGAGAAATCACCCCCCAGGGGGGATGGTCACACCACAATCCCTTCTCCTCCATTCTCCTCTAGGGATCTTGGGCACGCACGCACACGCGCCCGGCTTGAGTTTTAAGCCATCGGGTCCGGGACGCGAACCGCGGTCGACTACATGGGAGTCCAGCGACATAGCCATTATGCCAACTGCTGGTTCCCTTTTTTTTTTTTTTTTTGAGAGGTTTTTGCTATAGTGTGCATGCAGTCGCCAGAAGGACAGAGACAGAGCTAGAGACAGAAAGCAAGAAATCACCCCCCAGGGGGGATGTCCATGCCACAGTCCCTTCTCCATTCTCCTCTTGGGATCTTGGGCACGTATGCACACGTGCCCAGCCTGAGTTTAAGCCACTGGGTCCGGGACTCGAACTACGATCAACTACATGGGAGTCCAGTGACATAGCCATTACGTCAACTGCTGGCCCCTTCAGTTTCACTTATAATGCTCTCTTTTTGTTTTGGCAGATGAGGTACATGATGACCTGAGTCAGAAGACAGAAATAAGTAAGGTATGAAAATGATAAAATTTCATTCTTAGTTTAATTTCAAACGTGCTTTTCAAACATGGTAAGTTTCTAAAGGCTTGATTTCCACTACGACCAGATGAGATACTTAATGAATAATAGCTAAAACACAAAATCATGTGGTTCAGAATTCTTTTTCATTTAGCTTCCCAACCATATTCTCTCTGTTTTTAAAATTGTTTTGAAGATATTTACGTATATGCAAGCAAGTATAGTTCCCTACTTTTTTTTACATAGGTGGTAGTATTGCAACTACTTTCCAACTTTCTTTCTCAACAGTATATCTTTTTTTTTTTTTTTCAATTGCTAAAGAGTGTGTATACTTGCCAGAGAGAGAGACAGGGAGGGATGAAGGGAGGGAAAAAGCATTCCCTTCAATGAAGCATGGCCACATTTTAATCCCTTCTCCATTTCTTCATCCTGTCAGGATCTAGAGCATGCATGCCCACGTCCCAGAGAACAATATATCTTGAAGCTCTTTCTAGAACAGCTTTAGAAAAGTACTTCCTTATTCTTTTAATGGGCATAATATTTCTGTTATATTGATGATCCATAATTTATATCAAGAGACATTAATGGACATTCAGGGTATTTTCAATATTTTGCTAGTAAAGAAAATGCTGAAAAATAAATGGGTACATATGTTATTTTATGCGATTTTCTAATAGAGAATCCATTTTCTAGAAATGGAATTGCTAAGTTAAAAGGTATGTTCTTTGTAATTTGATAAAAATTAATTTTCCCTTTTCAGAATTTATAACATTTATACTTCCATAAGCAAGTATAAGGGCATCTGTTTGGTCCTACCCTCACCAACATACTATTTTATCAAAGTTTTGATCTTTGACAAGAATATGTGAAAAATACTGTATTGATATGGTTCTAACTTTAATTCATCTTATTATGTGTGAGATTGGATGTTTTTTCATATGTTTTAGAGCTTATTGTGTTTTCTGTGAATATATGGTTCATAATTTTTTACTCTTTTTTATTGAATTATTGAATATATATCTGTAAACCAATAGATCTCTGAGAAATGAGTTTTAAATATTAGGTTTATAATTTGCTATTTGTCCTGTGATTTTTTTCTGACATTTTTATATAGTTGAGTTTATTACTTTTTTCTTATGTCAATTTTTAGTTTATATTTTAGATATAAAGTACTGTCATTCAACACAATATCATTACAGAATTAATGTTTAACATTTAAATATTAGATCCATTTGGATTCTGTCCTGATGTAGGATGTACAGTATCAGTTCAACTTTACTTTTTTCCAGATGGCTCCTCAGTTTTGCCCATTTATTAAAAAGCCTATCTTCTTTTTCACTGGTTTGAGGTATTACCTTTATAACATACTAAACTTTTGTGTATATTGAGTCCATTACTGAAATTTTAATTTGTTTTTCTTTCTGTGCATATGTTAGTATCATACTGTTTTAATTATTGAGGTTTTAACATCTGGTGGGGTAAATTGAATCTCAATACTTTTCCAGATTTTTCTTAATGGCTTTGCTTATTGCACTTCTCTCATAAATGTTAAAATCAGATTGTGTTTGGTATTTTGTTGGAATGGTGTGAAATTTATTGATCATCTTAGAAAGATTTAATATTGAATCTTCTAATTTAAGTACATGTGCTTTAAGTTACTTAAGTCATATTTTGTGTTCCCTAGAAGCATTTTCAGGTTTTTTTTGCATACTTTGTGCATTTTAAATATATTTAAATGCTATTTATCATTTTAACTATTGTTTCTGATTAGGGTCTTTCCCTCTATTAAGTCTCTTAACATGAAAGCAATAACTTTGTTAATTTTGTATATCTTACTAAATTCCTTATTCAGAGTAATTTTCAATATTTTTTTTCTAGGGTTTCAAAGTATGTAACCATATCATCTGCAAATAAAGACAATTTTATCCCTATAATTTTTGTTATTTTAAATGCCAAAAGGCACGAGAGAAAGAGAGAAAGAGAAGAAAAGGGAGACAGAAAGAAACAGAGAGAGAAATAAGAGAATTCCCCAATGGGGACTGAGCAGGGTTAAGCATACCACAATACCCTTTCTTTCATTTCTGTTTTTCATCAGAATCCTGGGAATGCAGGATTCTGCATACACATGCATACACATGTTCCCAGCATGATTTTTTTTTTTTTTTTTTAAGTTTCAGGGCCAGGATTTAAAGTGTAGATAGCCTTGTGAGATCCAGCACCCTCCACACAGCACATAACCTCGATGCTATAGAACCAGCACTGATTCATGTTTTTTGCTTCTAATTTCTTTTTCTTGCCTAATTGCATTGATTAGTAGCTCTAGAATAATATAAAATAATATGGTCAGTATTTACTCTTCATTTCTGACTTTAGTGCATATGCTTCTAGTATTGTTCCATTAAACATAATGAGGACTTCGATCTGGGGAAAGTATATTTTTGGAATATTTATCTACTTTTTTTTTTTCTATCTACCACTTACCTGTCTTTCTAGTGAGGCATGAGAAAAGTGATGATATATTTTTCTGTTTTTCTATGCAAAATGCGTCATGACTTTTCTAATGAGCCAATATATGCTCTGGTCTGCATACTAGTTATAGGTTGATTTAGACTTCTTTTTTTTTGTGCACACATTTAGTTTTATTGTAACAAAGCAACTTGTACACCTCTAATGCTTAAAACTGAGCATCTTTCCTTTCCAGTGAAACAAAAAGAAAATTTAAAAATAAACAGGAACAAAATACAATAGAGAATGTCAATTCCAAATAAGATCCTACAGGTTCTGCTGATTCTCCCATTGAGTGGCAGGGCTCAAGTCATCATTAGGAGAGAATTTTATTTTTAAAAGTGTCATCTTAAACTGCAAGGATGTCCATTAAACATCACAATTAAACATGCCAAAGGAGAAGCCATGTTGTCAAAATGCCCACTTAACCCACCCAAACATCTCAAACCCACCCTTTGCTGACCTTCTATAACCTCATTTTTAAAAGTTTTTCTTTCTTTTTTTAAACAAGAGAAAGTAGACAGATACATGTTGGTAAATGCTAACTGTCCATATTCACATAGAGACAGTGTAATCTCTGAGCCCAATATACAGAGAAAGGAGGAAAAAAAGCTAGAATTCTATGCACTACTACACAGAGGCCTAGCACCCTCCGGCTTCTAGCAGAACGAAGGGAGCAGAAGGATTTTCTTTTTTTCTCACAGAGCACGGTGGTGTTGGTTCCAAACAGTTTTTGTTGAGACAGGAAGGGATCAAAATGAATTTGGAACAGAAAAGGGTAGAGATTCTTTTCCCATTGTTTCTGCTCAAGGTTTTTCCCGCTAAAATAAGTTGAGAGCCATGGTGTAGAGAAAAGAGACCTCAAGTACAGGGTGACTGAGCACAAGAGGGGAAAAAAAAAAAAAGAGAAAAAAAGAAAAAGAAAAAAGAAAAAAAGACTGCAACTTGCTCCCAGGGACTAGAGAAAAATTTTTTAAAAAGGAGGATTGGAATCCATCAGTGTTCTGTCAGTCATCTTCTCCTTCATCCTCCTCTCCTTCCTCCCCTTCATCATCATCTTCATCTTCTTCACCTTCATCCTCATCTCCTTCTTCATCAATATCTTCCAATCCCTCTTCTTCTTCATCATCATCATCTTCTTCTCCTTCTCCTTCTTCATCATCCATATTGGGAACCAAGTAGTACTGTAACAGATTTGGCCAAATGTCATCTTTGATGACCTCCCCTAACTCACCTGCACCTGTGTCAGAATGGTCAGTAAACCAAGTAAAGAAGCTCTCTGGTTCCTCGTGCTGCCTCTTCCTGCTGGCTTTATTCTGCGTTTGACTTGAACGTTTCATCAAATCCTTCCCAGATTTCCATTTGATTTCAGTGGACTTTGAAGATGGATCACCACTCTCAATCAGATGAAATTCTTTGGAGAGAACTTTATTTTCGAAGTAAGGATTTTCATCAAAATAAAAATCTATTCTGTAACCTGATTTAATGTCTTCAAATTCTGTCACTTCAACTCTGGTCAAATAATGCAGCGCCTCTTCATCCTCCTCTCCAAGCAGTGCAGACACTTGTGGATGGTTGACAAAAGTTGTTACCCCAAAATTTGGGATTTTGGTGATCAATTCTGACCTCTTCTGAAAAAATGGTTGGCGAAGTTTATTATATTTCTGTTCTACTTTCAAAATCTCCTCACTGGCTTGTTCATTAAGTCTGTCTATTTTATTTTGTACTTCATTGATATGTTCAATTGCTTCTTGTTGCTCTTTCTCTCCCTTGGGTAAGTCCAGAGAGGCCAACGCCTCCTCCGGCCCCGAGACAGGGGGCAGTCTTGGTTTCTTCATTGGAGGTGTGATAGAAGACTGTCGCTTGGGGGCCATGTTTCCAGGAAGGTACAGGCACCAGACCCAAAAACCTCCTAGCTGGCCAGGAAGACGCTCGGAGAACTCGATTTAAACTTATTTCTTTCCTTTTTTTTTTTTTTTAAGAGATTTTTGCTATAGGGCACGTGAGCTCTCCAGAAAGACAGAGACAGAGAGATAGAAAGCGAGAAATCACCACCCAGGGGGGATGACCACACCACAATCCCTTCTCCTCCATTCTCCTCTCGGGATCCTGGGTACGCATGCACACACGCCCAGTGTGAGTTTAAGCCACCGAGTCGGGAACTCGAACCATGGACGGCTACATGGGAGTTCAGTGACACAGCCATTATGCTAACTGCTGGTCTCTAGACTTTCTATTTCATAATGATTTAATTTTGTTAAGTTATATGTTTCAGGAATTTATTAATTTCTTCTAATGTATCCAGTTTGTTGGTATATAATTGTTCATAGTAGTTTTTTTTAAATATTCTTTTAAATTCCTGTGTCATCAGTTGTAATATTTCTTCCCTTTCTTATTTCATTTATTTGAATCTAGTCCCTTTTTTCCCCCTTAGTCTAGTAACAGACAGAAGCAGAG